TGGATGAACACACACCACACATGTTCAAGGTCGCCTGTTCAAAGGACTTTATGGCCCTTTGCCACTGTTGCACAGACTCTCAGTGTGGGGAAGCCTAATAGGAACGTGAAAGGACTATCCGGCAGTGGACTGTAACACCACTGATCAAGGTGGTGACACAAGCTGCACTCGGCAGCAGGTCGCCAGGCGCCATTTACTACCACCGTTCACCTATTCACAAATTCACTATTTAGGGTTATTTCTTCTTCTGATAACGTGCCACCAACACAATTGCTGTGCGTTGCTCGAAGATATCTAAACCAGGGAGTGAGTCTTTAAACGCTTTGATGGTGTCCTCTTTGTCTTTGTCTAGAAGAACAGCAGGAGGAAGGCGACTGAACACTGCTCCACTGAAGGTTTTTTTTCCACCCACACTTGGAGTTCGTTGGATGGTATGTTTGTAGATAATCTTTGTTGTACATCACTGTAATGATGCTCTTTCTGCAAGTCTCTTACATCCTATTGCAATTTGTTAAATACTAATAAAATATATCATCGTTGAATGGAAGAGGAAAACGGCCCAGACTGTTTTCCAGATCATAAAGATTATGCTCACAATATTTCCAAATGCTGTCTTTAAAGGTCCCATGTCATGGCTTTTCTTGCGTTATTAACCCGTCCCCTTTGTGTGCTTTATGAAGGGTTTTTATGCATGTAAACGCCGTCTGCCAGAGCTGAAAAAACCCTCAAAGTACACCTGCTTAGGAGCTAAAAACTCTAATGCCCAGATACCTCCCCAAAACGGCCTCGTTGGAGATAAGTCACTGTCCATTTCATTCTTCCGGCAGTTACGCATGATGTCAAACCGTATCTTTTTTCCCCGCGGAACGAAATGGACCAATCCGTGGGAGCCGCTTACGTTACGTCCGCGGAGCCGTTACGTCACGCCGCCCGGCTGATTGCGTCCAAATGGACCAATCCACGGACTTCCTCACACACACACTCAGTGCAGGCAGCTCTGCCCTGATCTTCTCCTCCCTGGCTGCAGGCTGATAACAGCCCAGCTTGGTGATCGCCGGCGAAATCTCTCTGCAGACCATTTCCTCACAGCGTTTATTCAACCTTTTTCTTACTTCAATATCAAGCCGACACTTATTGTTTTTTACTGTCGGCCCTGTGACTTTGTGTGTGCCTCAGGGATGAGTTTGGCTTGTGTTTCGCGGTGTATTCGCTGCTAACAGGAAACAACACCTCCACGGAGAGCTCAGCCGCGATTCACAACGTCCCGACAATCAGAGCGACACGTTGTTTGGTCACACGGGAGGGCGCGGTGGAGGGCTGGAGCTTACTGGAGCCCTAAACGAGCGTTAAAGGCAGAGAGTGAAATTCAGGAGATGACACGTAGTTTACAGAGGGATGCTGTATGAAGACGTGAATGCAAACCAATGAGATTTTGGAAAATTGCACTAATATAAATCTATTCTAGTAAACCTCAACAATGACGAATCTGTATGAGCATCAGTGTGATTGGAAATGGCACAATGACATTCTAGTCCTCAACAATTAATAGAATGGCTCTGGGACCTGCTCCATATGGACATTTAAACAGTTGCTTCTTCCTTTTCATATTAGCTATAACAGATCTTATTCATAATCCACTTTGATTAATTGATGGGGAAATATCTCTCGTGGCTGAAGCCTTGGGTTGCCTCGGAAAAACGTTTTAATACAATTTTGCACCAAAACTATGACTGGATGTTGTCCCCCACTTATAACAGAGGTGCATCAATGAGGGATCTCTTCATAGCCAATAGGAGGAATTATGATCTTATGGGACAGCTTAACTATTGTTTTAAGTGAGACTTGAAAGAATTATCAATTAATTTACTATTTATAGACTTCCTTAAATCCAGCTTCCCAGTGTTATAAGGCTCCAAATTGTCACAACCGAGATTGATTAATTACATTACAATATATTACTTGTTAGACGCTTTAATCCGAAGCGATTTACATACATTCAGTACTGTGGACAATCCCCACAGGAGCAATTTGGGGTGAAGTGTCTTGCCCAGGGACACAACGACATGCTGACTGCAGTGGGACTCGAACATGTTACCCCCTGATTCCAAGTCCAGCACTCTATCCACTGAGCCACAATTCCCTAATTAATGATTCATTGAACATGAAATGTTCTGTCAGTAGAATAATTGTTTAACTCACTTTCAGCACTATTATCAGTCAATTATCTAAAACAAATTCCTGTCAAAGGTGACACCCCATCATCATGACAAACGCAGACCTTGTGCCTCAACTTCACCAACAACCAGGCAGCCATGACAGCCCATGCATCACAGCATACTTATGCAGCACTGCGTTGTATGAGCGTGTGTGCGGGTATATTATTACTGCTCGGTTCCAGGAGTGTGTGGGTGGACGGCTGGATGCCGGACGAAGTGTGTAGGTGGCTGTTAACACAGGCTCCGTCACCCATCATGACTGGGTGGTGACCTGTGGCACAGACCAGCGTGAGAGTGCAACAGCGGGGAACGGGACAAAAGGTCCGTGGAAAATCCCGCTGTTGATCTTTCTGAGGTTTCACATATTTTTGAATGCCTCTTATAAAGTTTAGCACTGTATTTAAGCTCTATTTCATATGTTCTGTCCGTGGAGCAGCTCTGTGGTAACATAAGCACATTGTGGACACATGAGAGACACTTGTGTGTTGCATGATGGGTTGTTGACAAGAGGGAGATGCTGCTGCCTGAACATCAGGAGAACAGCTGATGAGCTCCACTACAGAGACCCCATGATCTCCGTCAGAAGAGTAATGATCACCAGAGCCTCAATGTGACAATAATCTCCTCTAACTTCATCAACACAATTTATGCCAGCAGGCCACCAAATGCTTTCAATATGTTCTGCGTTATGATCGTCCTCTCAGCTAAAATCATAGTTACAGTAATAATAATAAAACATGGAAGCTCACATTGATTCTGCCTGGCTACTCAATGCTGCGTGTCCTATGCCTTAACACCACGTCGTGGGCTCGATGCTAACATTGACTTATTACAAGAGAGCGTGCTGCCAGATCCATAATTAGACTCCTTTTGTTGCCCCCGTTGTTGTTGAAAATGTAATTATGAAAGATGAAACACAGCCTTCAATGAGATGGCTGTAAAATAGCATAATTAATATGGGCTTTTGCGAGAACAATCCCCGCTTTACGGGAGCCCCGCGTTGGCCGTGAAATTAATTAAGTGTGCCAGGATTTATGGCCTGTGCTCGGAAATGAAGAGAATTAATCGCGGGCCGAAGATGGATGGTTGCTGGAAAATGATGATGCCCAGGACCATGATGGGGGAGGCATCTAACTGCTTTAGGGGGGCACTCTTGGATGGGAATAGAAGGTTTTGACACAATTACACACCCCCAGACAACAGCTGGGCCAGCGGTGGGATGGAGTACTTTTTGCGCCAGCTTGGAGTTATGAGATTTTTTTCACCTTCATTCCACCTGAACCTTTTCCCTGCACACTACATATGGCCCCAAGATGGAGTTTGATTTGGCAAAGCGAAGACTTCTTGGAAAGCACAAGAGTTGTGTTCATGTTTTTGTTAGCTGTTTTATCACAGATGTCTTATTCTTTCATCCCCTTCTATATGCTATATATTCAAACAGATTAAAAATGAACCTGTTTATGTTTACAATTATAGCATACACAATTGATTATTGCATTATATCCACAGTAAGCAGTATGTGAAAAGGATGACATTATTGTGTATGTGCACTATACTGACATAATTATATATTCACTAGGAAACATCACACTGAAATAAATATTGGTGATTCTACATTCAATGTAGTGACTATTTTTAGACATAGACATTTTTTTTTTGTCCACAGGGAGGTAGGTGGACATTGTTATACATTTAAATGAAATAAGTAAACAGTTAAACGTAATGCCCTGTAATCAAAATCAAACTATGGGTAGTTACAATACAATAGTGAGCACAAAACAAGCACGATTATAAATATCCGTTTGCTACTAAAAATAAGCCATCATTACTGCTTTGAAGAGGCACTGTGTAGTGGGTTGTAGCGTTAAAAAATCTAAGCTCAGAGGGTTCCAAATTAACTTCATCCCACAGCTGGCCCAGCTGTCTTTTGTTGAGCCAAGGTGAAGAAAAATGACCAAATCACACGCTTTGTTAAATGGCACCAATATTAAACACAGGTTGTTAACTTTGACCTCCTACAGGGTCCTTAGACCCAAAACACAACCTCCCATCCATTCTACTGCCCCTTCACTGACTATTAGGTGTGTGTGTGTGTGTGTGTGTGTGTGTGTGTGTGTGTGTGTGTGTGTGTGTGTGTGTGTGTGTGTGTGTGTGTGTGTGTGTGTGTGTGTGTGTGTGTGTGTGTGTGTGTGTGTGTGTGTGTGTGTGTGTGTGTGTGTTGTAATAATGGAAGGCTAATTACCCACCTCCCATGTCCCTGGACAGCGCCACAATGTCTGGGTTAGGTCTGTGTGTGGGATGGTTCGTGGTGGTAATTAGCTTGATACACACACACACACACACACACACACACACACACACACACACACACACACACACACACACACACACAGTGAATATAATGCTACATATATCTCAATCACAAATTCTTCCTTGAATGTGTTGAAGACAATTAAGGTCTGTGTCACTGATAACCACTTTGCCTCCAGTGTAGTATTTGATGTGCTCATCATCCGGCGACATTTGCAAACTTAAGGACGGATGATTGTTGCTGAAAATGTGTTTACCAGTTCCTGTTTATCACTACGATGGTCTCTTTATCTGCTGTCTTTCAGATGGACGGCGGGTAAAGAGCTACAGGCTGGAGCTAGGCGGGTTCCTCTCTGCCACAACGTGATGACAGGAGACAGATTATGCCAAAGCGCCATATTGTAAACTACTCATCATTAGTGGGCCCATCCCAGCTAACGACTGCACTGGAGATAAACAGGGGCGATGTGGAGAGCCATCTTAATCAGGAGGGCCATTTAAGAGTGGGGCTCAGTCATTACGCACAGCTGTATCACACCAAGATATGGGAGATGTTGAGCTGTAAAGCTGTGAAATAGGCTCAGGCCCAAGCCTCAAGCTCCACGGAGGTTCAGTGTTGTTCTGATTTCTGATCTAAATTACGAATAGAAAGATAAGTGCCTAAAACATCTAGCCAAATTAAATTATGGACAACCATTGAATGTCTCTAGTCACAGCCTCCCAGGGACACTCACAAGCTCCAGTCAATAGCGTGAGGGGGGGTGAGATGAGTTGAATTTGTAGTTTATGTGAAACCCACTCCCTCGCTCCTTCTGTCTCTTCTGCTCTGTTTATACACAACACTCCCTTTTTAAAATCATCAATGGCTTCAGAGAGAAAACAAACAGGTCTGTAATCATGAGATACTCCATGAGTATACACACACAATCACACTAACACCTGAAAGGAGGATTTGATTTTCTTTCCAAGTCAAAAAACGTCCAGTTTAGAAACATTTGTAAAATAACATCCTTGGCGTAATCACTGTTATCTACTTTCCCTACTTTTCCCTCATTGATTCCTTCAACAGTTTTGTTAATGCTCAGGGGCACCTCGGTAGTCACTTGGTCGTTCCGAGACTCGAACCGGTGTCCTTCCGGTTCCCAGGCCGAGTCCCTACGGACTTAGCCACCTTAAATACTTAATAAAATGTTTTACAAGGCAACTGTTATAACCTGAATGGGACACTTAAAACCACATTTAAGTATCAAACTCGGGTCTCAACAGTGATAACCTCTTTTTTATTCTCTCTGTGACCCAACATTTACAAATATCACTCTCCTTGCTTCCTGCTTTCCTATATCTCTTGTTCCCTTTTTAATTTGTGTTTAATATGTGTCCCACAAATTGTTTCTGTAACGATACAGTGAGTACAATAAGCAGCAAATTATCAAATTAGAGAAGTTAAAAGTGTGGGAATTTTTGCTTGATAAATGACAAACAATTATGAAAAATGCTATCAATTAATTATCTAGTTATTTAGCCACACTGATCTCTATGATTTCCAGTTTAAAGCTAACATGTATTCTCTCTTTGCTTCCTGTTTTTCCTTCATCTTAATCCTTCTCCTTTTTGTCATCCAGTGCATCCGGCACCTCTCTCATCATGTCACCCAGTAACCCGCTCTCTTGTCCCTCAGACGGACAGGCCTGAGTTGTCCGGACAGGCCGTAGCTCTCCCCACAAATGCTTGAACAATTGGAGGTAAATACGTTGGAGACAGCCCATTTGTTTTGTGCCGGCGGTGATGCATGCTTTTGCAGCAAGCAGCACATTTTTACCACGCAGCCCAAAGCAGCTGTGAGTAATGGACTGCTCCGGCCTGTCCACTCATTCTGCTATTTTTATTATTGTCTCCCTTATAGTTTTCATTTTTCATATCAGGAATAGAGAGAGAAAGAGAGAGAGTGCACAGCATTCCCTTCAAGTAGGTTCTTTCCCTAAAAGAGGCGGGAAGCGAGGGCCCCACATCCCCCACTTCCACTCACTTCATCATCTTCCATCAACCGTCCCTCGCTTTTTTTAGTCAGACTGAAAGATTTTGTTGGATGCCAGGAAGAGACAAATAAGGGATTATCAACAGACAGCACAATAATTCAGGTTGGACAGCTTCATAATAATTTTTCATCGATCCATCAATGTTTTCCTCTGGCATGATGTTTGGTTCAGCCTCTGGGGATTCTCCAGATCATGGGGTTTTCTTCGACAGGAGACCTGGGTGTCTGTGACGAAAGAAGCAAAGCAAAAGGAAAACTAACTTGAACTCAAAAAGCACAAATGAGGCTGCTGAAACAGAATGTAAAAAAAATGTGTACTTACTGTAAGCTTTAACCACAGAGCTGAAAAAGCCCAGCTCTTGCTTTGAAGATGATTCACTAAGTAGCTAAAATTATCTGCCGCTGCCCACCCCAGGGAGAAGACTGGTATTTTGCATTGAGGCACTCACATGGGCACCTATAATGGGTGCCTCTTAATTCCACTGACAGCTTTACAGGACCTGAGTTATGAATCCACAGCATGCCGCTCGTTAGGCCCTCGCCAGGCTTCACAGTGGGTTACACTAATACACCTCCTTCCCCCTCCCTGCCCTTTCCCACTGCACACACACGGACATAAAATCAGCCACACACACAAATATGAGGACGAGCACATCCTCACACACGTAGAGAGCTACTGGCCCACACAATTTCGGCACACACCTTTGTTGTATAATGGGGGTTATTTGTTCAAGATGTTTAGCTCATATCAGATTTATTTCCCCGATTCTGGCCTTCATTGTGTGCTCCTCTCTCCCTGCTACATTTCTTCTCCCCTTATCCTCTCTCTGCTCATGCCCACCAGGCCAACACCATGTTCTTCTCCCCCTGCCTCCCCCTAACCTACCTAACCCTGCCCGTGCCATTGGTCTGGACTGACTACACGGCGCTCCTGTGCCGACAGTAGCAGGGTCCTGCTGGGTGATCCATCTCTGTCAGCCTGCTAAAATGATAATGCCAATTAAAGCAGAGGAGTAATTGCCCTCCGCTGCCTCTGATCCCCTGCAGACCCTCAACAGGAGCCATGGCCCCAAATACGAATGAGACCCGGGCCCCCAGAGGCCCTCGCCTGGGCTGCCGTGAGGACAGGTGGGGAGGGGGATCGTGGTATGGAGGCCGGGGGGAGGTAGGATGGAGGGCAGAGTGGGGGAGGAGGGGTGATTTGTAACTTTTAACCTCCACTGATCACCGATGGCCTTGACAAGGAAGGTGTGGAGGAAAGAGGAAGAGATATCACACACACACACACAAACACAAGCACAAACACACGGGTGGAGATCTGGTCGTAGCTGCACATGGATGAACACACACACACATGTTCAAGGTCGCTGTCAAAGGACTTATGGCCCTTGCCACTGTGCACAGACTCTCAGTGTGAGGAGCCTAATAGGAAGTGAAAGGACTATCCGGCAGTGGACTGTAACACCACTGATCAGTGGTGACACAGCTGCACTCGCAGGTCAGCCAGGCGGCCATTACTACCACCGTCCCTATCACAAATTCACTTTTAGGGTTATTGTCTTCCTTCTGATAACGTGCACAACACATGGCTTGGTTCTCAATATCTAACCAATGATCTTTAACGCTTGATGTGTCCTCTGTCTTTTCTAGAAGAACAGCAGAGGAAGGCGACTGAACACGGCTCCACTGAAGGTTTTTTTCAACCACACTTGGAGTTCGTGGAGGTATGTTTGTAGATAATCTTTGTTGTACATTCACTGTAATGATGCTCTTCTGCAAGTCTCTACATCCTATTGCAATTGTTAAAATACTAATAAATATATCATGTGAATGAAGAGGAAAAGGCCCAAGACTGTTTTCCAGATCATAAAGATATGCTCACAATATTCCAAATGTGTCTTTAAAGGTCCCATGTCATGCTTTTCTGGTTATTACCCGTCCCCTTCTGTGTTATGAAGGTTTTTATGCATGTAAACGGTCTGCAGAGTGAAAACCCTCAAAGTACACCCTGTAGCGAGTAAAACTCTAATGCAGAAAATACCTCCCCAAAACGCCTCGTTGGAGATAAGTCACTGTCCATTTCATTCTTCCGGGTACGCATGATGTCAACCGTACCCGGAACGAAATGGACCAATCCGTGGAGCCGTTACGTTACGTCCGCGGACCCGTTACGTTACGCGCCCGCTGATTGGTCCAAATGGACCAATCCACGGACTTCCTCACACACACACTCAGTGCAGGCAGCTCTGCTGATCTCTCCTCCCTGGCTGCAGGCTGTGTGTGTGGTCGTGTGTGTGTGTGTGTGGGATTTACATCACTTCCCCCGTCATCTTACCTACCCTCCAACACAAAACCCAGATTCCTGGGACATCCTCCAGTTTCAATTTGTTGGACACAAATTATAACTACGGTAAATTGTTTCGCACACTAAACCACGTAAAAAGAGTGGAACCGAGTTGTTTTCTGTCGACCCGGTCGGACAACCCTACTTCAATTAAACCTTTGGGAGACTCGAATTCTAAAAAATTGCGATGTTGGGTGATGTGTCAAGGAGAAGTTTCGTCATCACTACCGAATAAAAATCATCGTTTGCCTATAAATATATAGCACGAACAAAACACGAGGTTGATCATAACATTCGATGGCGTATCAACTAAACTAATGTGCCCGTCATGCAAATTGACAAATGAATAAAGTAAATTTACATATCTCGTTACAGGTGGGATGGAGGGACACCCCTGTTTTTTTTACAGATACAGATTTTTTATCAGTGATTGTAACTTACATCTTAGTGGTTATAAATAAAGTCACCACTACAAGGATCACTTATATATTAATACAGTCATATCATCGTGTATTCCGTCGTTTATTACAGTAGGAAAAGGTGTATGACGAATAGCACCTATATTACCCGGTATGTAGGTTAACACATACGATATTAACATTTGTATTTGTCCAAGTAAAAATTAGGGACAAACTTATATATGCGTATATCTTCCCCTACTTTCTTATTCTGTAGACACTATATGGGATCGGATTCGTTTGCTATGCGTTTGGTTCGTTTGTGAACGTTGTTGAGTAAACGATCGAAGGTGTTATATCAGAGCGTACTATACATCGGTTTAGTTGAAGGTCGTAGTAATATACCCACTTGTATATGTTCAGCAGTCCCTGTTCTTCCTAAGTCCATCCTTCTTCCACTTTTTTTTAGAGTAGTGTGAGGTTCGACCGCGTATTTTCATCGAGGGTTAGGGTTCGGCGACCGGGGTCGACAACAGACCCCCACACATTAACACGTTTTTGGAAGATAAGGGGTAGGTTCTCACGGGGGAATTTTTCGTCAATCTACGGAGGGGGGTAGGGTACCAGGATCCCGTAGTCATGGAAAGTACGAGTGTCGTGTAGTGTAGAAGCCGGGGACGTAAGTAAAGAAAAAAGTGTTCGTGGATGATTCCGGATATAGTATAGGCCGTTGTGAAATATAATTAAAGTGCCGGTTGGTTAACTGTGCCTCCGCGAGGCAGTATTGCTGAACCTAACAAATGAGATTATGCGTTTTGTCGGTATAATTAATACTGAGTGTGTATAAATGCCGTGTAGAGTAACTCTCGCACAAAGTGTGAAAGTACTGTTATAGTAATAAAAGATTGGTTAGTTGCACGTCCCCGTTGTTTTCCTCAGATGTCAATACGCTAGACCGTCGTGCGAGAGAACATTATTTCAGTTACAATCCGTATCTCGGGCATGCTGCACCACACATTCCGTATCCTGTGCGTCCGTAACTCATCGGTCCGTCTTAGTTACACTCGAAGGTACAAAATAATAATAATGACATTGATTACTAAAATGCGACTCTCCTGCTAGTATTGCGGTCTTGTATAACTTTCCGTAAACCACCGACGACCGGTATCTTAACACAACTACTTCATTCTCCTCTAAGTAACAGTGTAACTCCGAGACCACTAGTAATGACGAAGACTCGCCTCTAGTACCCCAAGAGACATCACCCTCGAGTCAGTCGACAAGAGGACTACAAGTCGTCGTCGTAGACGCGGAGATAACCAGGTTGTTCGGGTAGTACGTTCTCGTTGGGTTCTACATTGAGGTATACATCCTGTGTAGTTACTAGTATATCTAATGGTGTTCTCCGCCAGGTGTGTCTTTGTTACTTATTCTCGAATTTATGTTGTTTGACAATATTCTTGTGTTTTGATCACCGTTATGTAGTCTTTTCTAGGTGTCGCCCTAAAAGCGTCGCCTTGAAAACAGGGCAAGGGCGGACAACCGTGAGAGTGCCGACCAGACACCGTGTCCAGTGGTGGGGTCAGTACTACCCACTCCTCGGACACAATTGTTCGGTGGATGGTGTCGGAAGCACGCCGTTAGGTCGGGCAGGTGGTGTGTGAGGACCTTGGCTCCCGTCATATTATATGGGCGTGTGTGCGAGTATGTTTGGCGGTCACGACGTATTCATACGACTACGTACCCGACAGTACCCCGACTCGCCACTTCAACTCCGTGTTCCAGACGCAAACAGTAGCTACTTACCCAAGGTGAAACTTGTCCTTAAACAAAACTAGTTAACTGACTATTATCACGACTTTACTCAATTTGTTAATTAAGACTGGAATTGTTCTTGTAAAGTACAAGCTTACTTAGTAATTAATCCCTTAACACCGAGTCACCTATCTTGTCGACCTGGAACCCTTAGTCCCCCATTGTACGACGCTCAGCGTGACGTCAGTCGTACAGGCAACACAGGAGACCCGTTCTGTGAAGTGGGGTTAACGAGGCGACACCCCTAACAGGTGTCGTGACTTACATACATTTCGCCGAAGCCTAATTTCGCAGATTGTTATTATACTAACATTCACATTCAATTCAGTTAGAGCCAACACTGTTAAACCTCGCGGTAAAAAAAAAAAAAACTATTGTGACCCTTCGGACTTAAATTCTTCAGAGATTTATCATTTGAATAACTATAAGAAAGTTCATAGTGAATTTTGTTTATCAATCCGACAGGGGTATTCTTTCGTATTAAGGAGGATAACCGATACTTCTCTAGGGAGGTATGCTACGTGGAGGACAATATTCACCCCCTGGTTGTAGGTCAGTATCAAAAGCACGTTTTACATAATTTTGCAAAAAGGCTCCGGTTTGCTGTCTCCCGAAGGTCGGCTGCTCTCTATAAAGCGCGGTAGTTAATTAGTTTTCACCTAATACTTTCCTAGACAATATCGATTATACTTTTCCTTCTTCGTTGACAAATTTACAGGTATACCTGTGGGTCTGGTAAGTAATTTCCATGTACAGTACCGGTAAAGGTTGCTAGTATTAAGGTAACAAACTTCCAAATGATCTTATCTAAATATAATCACGTTAAAAGGTTTTGAGTGGAACCAAAGAGGTATGTCGTAGGAGACATTTGATGCACATTAAGGACTTAAAGTGAGAGACGGAAATTGCCGAGCAACATCGAGGTCATTCGAGGTCGGGGGTGGGGAGGGGACACTGGTTGTTGCACACGAGACTAACAGCCCTGCACACTTAGCGCGCGACTCGAGAGGCACCTCCACAACAAAGGAACAATCGTCGCTATGTTGGCGCTTTGTGTTCGGTTTGAGTAGGGACTCGTGTGTGTGTTCAGTGTCTCGGCTTCAATTTTTGTTATTCAACAGACCGAACTATAACTTCATTCTTTTTCCAACTTATTTTGCGACACTCCTTTACCCAGACGTCTCTCTAAAGCGGCCGCTAGTGGTTGAC